TTTTATAGATACAAGTATTTAAGTAAATGCTCTGTTTTATAATAAACAGTATTAAATAACATTTACCGGCCTGAATGTCCGAGAAATTTTCATAGAAAATATTCGTCCTTAAATACTTGTATCTATAAAAAGAATGTTAAACATAAAAATGTCTTTAAATTGTCGAACTTTGTCCATTTCTTAATGTATAATAATAGATGACTAAAAAATATTAAGATGTCATTTTCAACTTTACTTTACATTATATATATATATATATATATATATATATATATATATATATATATATATATGTGTGTGTGTGTGTGTATACATTATATATATATATATATATATATATATATATGTGTGTGTGTGTGTGTGAAAATGTGTGTATATAAATATAAATAAATATATATATATATATATAATAATTATTTATATTATATGCGCGGTACTTATTAGAAAGCGCTTAATATCAGAGATAGAGCTAACATATTTGGTTGGATTGATTCACATCAATCTAACCAAATATATATATATATATATATATATATATATATATATATATATATGAAAACTTTTGGATATAGATAAATGCAAAATCCAAAATCTGATCTGTTCTCAACATGCAAATTTTGTGAACACAAACGTCTGAAAATACACATCTGGTTTTGAATGAAATAGATCAATTTTTAATGATAACTTAATTTTTTTTTTTATCATTTCACTTCAAGCACGACAATAATGTCACTAGAATGCAAGGATTTACAGAGGGTCAAAGAGTATAAGAATGTGAATGGTGAGGATCAAAAAATGAACACTGTTCAAGAAGACAGAAGATGGTAATTGACATTACATATAAATTTTTGAAGATTGTAGTTATCAGGGAAGCAAGAAGTCAGAAGAGAGTTACGCAGGTGAGAAGTGTTAAACGATAAAAAAAGTTAATGTAGAAATGACGTTTGCGTCTAGCTAATTCAACACTAAAATGGTTTTAATCTAGTAGCATACTTAAATTCTTGTAGTCATGGCACCAGGGGAAAAAAAGTCCATCAACAGTTACCATGAAAATATCTGTAGGGAAGCCGCACTACATCTATGAGAAAGTGACTGTAGACTCGATGCCATGTCAGGATCAATTGTATTGCAGACCATTCTTTGGATTGTATCAAGAATCATCAGGTTTGGTTTGGTTTCTTTTGTTTTACGACATATCAACTTCAATGGGTTATTTAACGCCGACAAAAATTTTTATTACTGGTAATAATTTTTTCAAAAATCTATTTCTGGGAATAATTTTTCCTTCAGAAATTATTGTTGGTAATTATTTTTTAAGTATTTCTGGTATTAAAACCTAGTTTTACACAAGTTTCGGTGTTAACTATTTACCCATAGGTGGGACCCTAATAGGTGCTACCAACTCGGGTAAGGTTGGACCTGGGAACACCAGCAGTTAAGAGGTGGTTCCACGCTCCTCAAAACCTCCTGATCAGAAGCCTTGCTGTTGGACGTAGTTTATCGTCTTACCCAGGACGCGGATGTAGTTTATCGTCTTACCCAGGACGAAAGAATCATGAGATATGCAGCAAGAACACCAGACTAGATATAGCAACAGTATTCAATACTCAGATGAATAATAGATTTATAAATGTGCAAGATGGATTCTGACAACAAAAAAAAAAGTTTTTGGCATGATACAGTGAACATATCTTCCTTGTCGTAGACAGCAATTGACTCAATATAATCGCTCCTTTTCATGCCAGTGGAAGATGTGAGGCCAAGAAAGAGTAGAGTGTTGTCCTCTTGGAAATCAGAATCGGCTATCCTGATTTTAGACAGTTCTCTGTAATTTAGAAAATACTGTTTGTGATAATTTATATATAATTTTCATACTAGGCTAACATTATAAAAAATTCCAACATTTTTTATAGATACTATGCTGTATTAAATTTTCTAGTTAAATAGTTAAATAATATAGACCCATATAAGATGTTTATGTTATTTTTAACATTGTATTCTAAAATGTGTGTGCATGGCTGTGTGGTTAAAGCATTCACTTTCCAGCCATGAGGCCGCAATGTAGAAATGAAGGTTGAGTCTCGCTATTTCAACAGGAAAATGTTTTTAATCTAGTAGCATAATTAAATCCTTGTAGCCATGGTACTTATGGGAAAGAAAGACATCACGTTCTCATATTTAGTACAGATAGTGTCAAAATGACCCTGAAATAGAACCGATCTCAAAATATTGAATTGGAAATAAGCCGTTTCCTTGCAGAGTGAAAAAAATGTCATTTTTAAATAAAACCTGCCCGACAAATGATTTGAGCATCTACCAAGGGTTAGAGACGAACTCTGTGAAAAGCAAATGTAGTTTGCTGGCTATTGCTGGCGAAGTAGTCAAGTTGTTGATCAACTTGTGAAATCATTGGTTTAAAAAAAATTGCTGACTGAAAAATACAAGAGCACGGGCAAAAAAGAAATATATATTATGTATATTTTTTACTACTGAGAACAACGGTAACTGTCAGTTGGTAAGAAAACGTGTGTAATGCAGTAATAACCGTATATTAGAACTGACCAAAGATTACTAGACCTGGGTTTGACGATAGACTACATCCGGCAGCAAGGCCTCTGATTGGGAGATTGAAGTTTTTCATGAGCGTGGAACGACATCTTAATTGTTGTTGCTCCCGTGGTAGCACCTGTTAGGCTCCCTGCTATGGACAAATGGTGAGCCCCGCGCAACAAAATTAAAACGCTATGAAAGTTTTAAAATATATTTTTATAGTAAAAATACCAGCAATATATTATGATATAAAAATTACCAAAAGTCCATATTTATAGTAAAATTAGTTAAATTAGATTTTACCTGTAGTTGAATGCCTATAACTGCGTTCAAAATATATTTAGTTGAAGCCATAAAATATTTAGATTTTCGACATTAATAATAAGAAAGACTGATATGCGGCTAAATAAAATCAACCAATTAATGTTGTGTATATATATGTGTAATTACGTATGTACTATCTCTCTCTCTCTCTCTTTTTATATATATATATATATATATATATATATATATATATATATATATATATTATCATACAGTCGCAGTTACGCTGGATTGGTCATGTCTTGAGAATGTCTGATACCCAAGATCCTAATGTACAACCAGTTAGATCAGGGCTACAGGAATGTAGGACGCCCATGGCTAAGATACAAAGACAATCTGAAAAGCAACTTGTCAGCAGTCAATATACCACATAACACCCTTGAGTGCCTAGCCTTGGAGCGGGTAGAATGGAGATCAACGTGTTTTAGTGAAATTAGCAATTTTCAATCTGCTTGTCTGAATCATATTCAAGAAGCGAGAGCAAGATCTAAAAGGTCAGCCAATCTAACAGTGATCTCATCTGACAATTCTCACACCTGCTCCATATGTGGACTCCTTTGTAAATCACTAGCGGGTCTTAAATGCCACTTAAGATTATCGCAGAAACTTTCATAACTGAATCAATAAGCTGGCAGATCCTCATACGTCGAAACCGACGGGAGAGTCCATTATATATATATATATATATATATATATATATATATATATATATATATATATATATATATTATTGTATACAACCAAAAACGGTTTTAAGGGACCTGGAACCCGTTCTTAAAAGTTGCTGTTTCTAGGTCCACTTTGATCCAAGGGTGGTAGCACCTGTTAGGGTCCCAGGTCTGGGAAAATAGTGAATTTGCAAATGAAAGCAGAATATGACGAAAGTATAAAAATAGACTTTTATATAAAAAAATATACAAAATACAGATTCATAGTAAAATTACTAACAATACATATTTATAGTATATATTTAGTTGGAGCCATAAAATATTAAAAATATTTAGATTTCGGCATTAGTTGACCCATAAAGGTGTTGATATGCTGTTAAATAAACAACCAACCAAAAATCCATATTTATAGTAAAATGACCCACAATACATTTTATCTGTAGTTGAAGGCATACAATTGCGTTCAAAAGATATTTATTTGAAGACATAAAATTGTGTTCAAAATATTTAAATGTCGGCATTAAATAACCCATAGAGGTGTTGATATGCCGCTCGACAAAATCAACCAACCAAGCTAAAACAAACCAAAGATTACAGGCCTATAGCATTGAAAGGCGGGAACTGTTTAGTTTTCATTTATGGAGTAGTAAACAAGATTTATTTCGTGGGATCCAAGTTATGGAAAAAGTCAAGAGTTAGATAAGCAAGAACCTTCGTGAATCAACTTATCGATGACATCGGATTCAAAAAGAGTGCACCTAGAAGAGCCAAGAATCCTATAATATTTATACATGTCCCTCCATTCGTTAGTTCGCACGACCGTTACGCCCTGCCAATAGCTCACAAATAATGAACTATTCCGTCAAAGACGCTATATGGTTTGAGTGAAAAAAGAGAAAGGAAATGGAAATGGGTAACGTTTTCTTGCCTCATAAATAATGGACGAATCCGTTCTGTTCCCGTGAGAAAACAAAATACGTATTAAATATGCTACTTGGTTTCAATCAAAAAATTAAAGAAAAATAAAAAAAGGAAAAAAAGAAAGAAGGAAAGAAAAGAAGGAAGATAGAATTATTTAACAGCTGTTTCAGTGAAATGGAAAAAGTTGTCAATATCAAATCTTTTTATTTGTATCCCCTTACTTCTTAAAATAACGACCAGCATTCATGATGGTGATTATTATTGCAAAATTTTATTAAAGTTAAGCTCAAATATTTAACGATGCGATAGGAGAATTTCTACGGATATTTTATTGTCGTAGAACTCGCCATGAGCTTATTCAATCATTAACTGAAGAATTAAAATTCAGCAGAAAATTCAAATAGGAAAATCACGGTCTTTCTAGTTTTTGAAGTCAAATTTTTACAACGATAGAGATTAAAACGTAGAAGAGCATATTCAATCATTAACTGAAGAAGAGAAATGGAAAAGAAAAAAGTTTGAATAGGGGAATTCTACGGATAAGTTGTGAGAATTGAAGAATTACGTCAGAAAAGAAAACCGTGAAATAGATATTAAAATAGATAGATAGATAGATAGATAGATAGATAGATAGATAGATAGATAGATAGATAGATAACACTGTGGAATATTTTGGAAATATCTTTAGTTGTCATACTTTGTACGTAATTTGCCGGAGAGGGACTCAGGTCGAGAAATACTCCCAGAAATCACCTTTTTTGTTTTAAGTTTGTTTGTTTTTTGTTAAATAGGAATTCATTTTTAAATGAGGAACTGACACATGCTAAAAATACTTTATATTGTTTACCAATTATATTTTGGCTCGGGAGGAGTGTGAACCGGGCAATAGATGAATCTATTTATCATGAATAGAAGAAGAAGAAGAAGAAGAAGAAGAAGAAGAAGAAGAAGAAGAAGAAAGAAGAAAAAGAAAATAAGACGAAGAGGAAAAGAAGAAAAGAAGAACAAAATAATAAACAAAAACTTAGACAGTTGATATATCAAGAGGAGTTAACTAAAAACATAAGGCGTAGCACGTGGAACTAAAACAATCTACCCCCATGGACTAAATAAAAAGGTTCGGTTCGAATTTCCAACGTATATCACCTGAAGAAGGTCGGAGCGTACAACGGCCGAAACGTCGTAAATACGACAGTCAATATAAAGATGGAAACAACAATGATGTAAATATTGTAAATAAATATATTTCGGTCCGGGAGAAATGTGAACAGCACGATAAGTAAACACCATTTGTTCCTAACCTGTTGAACTTGTGTGAATGAATTGGGGGAAGAGGTCGGTAGCCTTAGCAAAGGAAGAAAAACAGCTAAGAGCCACAAGATGTTAGAAGTTGTGAAGATCGCCGATGTCCTGAAGAGATGCGGCCTAAGCAATAAGATGGTAAATTAGGTTTGGCACGTAACCAAAAGTATGTGGCACCTAGTGAAGCCCAAACGCAATCTAGTCGTACAACTTTCTCAATTTTGCCTTATGAAGGCGATGGAAATCTTGAGAAGTTGGAGTTGAATCCGTTTTCATTTTCGATGACCTCGTTTGAGCGGCTAGAAGCGCAAGCGATTCTCTTCAGACGCGAGCGGAAGTTTGCAAGACGCGATGGTCGATTGCCGATCAAAAGCGACGAATCGTGCGTAAATCAAATTCGCGGCTTTCGTTTGGCGCGCGCTGTCTATTGACCAAAACAAGGCTGAAAGAAAATCTGTTCAATCGTACCGAGAAAGCCACTTTCTAATTGCCTGAGGGAGAAGCTGAGCAAGATTCTGTAGAGATAGCCAAAGATGTAAATAACAATTGCCTGGGTCTTCTTCTTCTTCTTCTTCTTCTTCGTGCACCTTCTTCAATATTCTTTTTCACCTTCTCCTGCTCCTCATCCATTTCTCCTTTCTTTTCTTTCTTTCTTTCTTTCTTTTTTTCTTTACTTATTTACTTATATCTTTTCTCTTTTTTTTTCTTTCTTTCTTTTTTTTTTCTTTCTTTCTTTGTCGCCTTTTCCTTATTCTTTCCTTTTTGTCGTTTTTCTTTCTTTCTTTCTTTCTTTCTTTCTTTCTTTGTCACCTTATTCTTTCCTTTTTGTCGTTTTTCTTTCTTTCTTTCTTTAATTATTTCTTTTCCTCTTCTTTCTTTTTCTTTTTCTTTCTTTGTCGCCTTTTCCTTATTCTTTCCTTTTTGTCGTTTTTCTTTCTTTGTTTCTTTATTTATTTCTTTTCCTCTTTCTTTCTTTCTTTCTTTCTTTTCTTTCTTTTGTCGCCTTTTCCTTATTCTTTCCTTTTGTCGTTTTTTTTCTTTCTTTCTTTCTTTCTTTACTTATTTCTTTTCCTCTTTCTTTCTTTTTCTTTTTCTTTCTTTCTTTCTTTCTTTGTCGCCTTTTCCTTATTCTTTCCTTTTTGTCGTTTTCCTTTCTTTCTTTCTTTCTTTCTTTACTTATTTCTTTTCCTCTTTCTTTCTTTTTTCTTTCTTTCTTTCTTTCTTTGTCGCCTTTTCCTTATTCTTTCCTTTTTGTCGTTTTCTTTCTTTTCTTTCTTTCTTTTCTTTTTTCTTATTTCTTTTCCTCTTTCTTTTTTTTTTTTTTCTTTCTTTCTTTTTTTTTTGTCGCCTTTTCCTTATTCTTTCCTTTTTGTCGTTTTCTTTTCTTTTTTCTTCTTTTCTTTTCTTTACTTATTTCTTTTCCTCTTTCTTTCTTTTTCTTTCTTTTCTTTCTTTCTTTATCGCCTTTTCCTTATTCTTTCCTTTTTTGTCGTTTTCCTTTCTTTTCTTTCTTTCTTTCTTTACTTATTTCTTTTCCTCTTTTCTTTTTTTTCTTTCTTTCTTTCTTTCTTTGTCGCCTTTTTCTTTATTCTTTCCTTTTTGTCGTTTTTCTTTCTTTCTTTCTTTACTTATTTCTTTTCCTCTTTCTTTCTTTTTCTTTTTGTTTCTTTCTTTCTGTCTTTCTTTGTCGCCTTTTCCTTATTCTTTCTTTTTTGTCGTTTTTCTTTCTTTCTTTCTTTACTTATTTCTTTTCCTCTTTCTTTCTTTTTCTTTTTCTTTCTTTCTTTCTTTCTTTTTATCGCCTTTTTTATTCTCTCCTTTTTGTCGTTTTTCTTTCTTTCTTTACTTACTTATTTCTTGTCTTTTCCTCTTTCTTTCATTCATTCTTTCTTTGCTATCTTTTCCTTATTCTTTCCTTTTTGTCATTTTTATTCTTTCTTTCTTTTTCTTCGAAATTCTCTTTTCTTCTTCGAATTTCTTCAAAGTTCCTCTTCTTCTACGTTCTCTTTCTTTGAAGTTTTCTTCTTATTATCATGCGAATTTCTACTTTTCTTTTTTCGAAGTTCTCTTTTCTTCTTCTTCGAAGTCCATTTTCTTCTACTTTTTATTATTCTCATTCGAATTTCTTCTTCTACGTTCACCTAATTCGTCAAAATCCTTCTACATCTTCTCCCCCACCTCTTCCATTTCCCTTCTTCTTCTTCTTCTTCTTCTTCTTCTTCTTCTTCTTCTTCTTCTTCTTCTTCTTCTTCTTCTTCTTCAAAGATCTTCTACGAATTTCTCTTTGCTTCGTCTTCTTATTTTCATTATTATTATTATTATTATTATTATTATTTGAATTTCTTCGCAGTTCTTTGAAGGTTTTCGTCTTCTCCTTCAAAGTTCTTCCAATTTTTTCTTGAATAACTTCATTTTCTTCAAATTTCTTCTTCGCTTACATCTTCTTCTTCTTCTTCTTCTTCTTCTTCTTCTTCTTCTTCTTCTTCTTCTTCTTCTTCTTCTGCTGCTGCTGCTGCTGCTGCTTCTTCTCCGAAGTTCTTCGATATTCTTCTTCTTCGGCCAGATTATATTTTAAAAAATAGTCCCTAAAAAGTCGCAAAATTTAAAATCCAATGTTGCTTGGTTTTCAATAATCCCGGCATCGACCAAAACATTAACACGGTTTTTTTTCCTTTTCAGACGATAATTTGATCTGCACATCTGGATAGGATAATCAGTTTGAATATCGAAGGTCCAAGCGGTTTCCATAAGGATCATCATTATTAATAACATTGACAAGATGCTGTACGCCATTATAATTATTATTATTATTATTATTATTATTATTATTATTATTATTATTATTGTTTTTATTTCCTTTCATTTCTGACGTGTACACATTTCTTTCCGGGTCCCGCCCAGGGACCTAAGGTTAGAAATGGCATAATAACATTTTCCTCTGACAAAAAAAAAAAATTACATAGATAAAGCCCTTCGTAAAGTGTCGGCTGTACTTGTCAGAACAATTTTTGTATCTCCTTGAGGCATGGACTTCCAGGAATCCCTTCAATTAGTCTACTGCAATCTTTTCCAACCAATCCTAGGGCTCCAACTACAACAGGGATTGTTGATGTTCCCATATGCGACATTTTTGAGATTTCTGTTTCAAGGTCCTTGTATTTTGACAGCTTTTTGAATATCTTCAAAGATACATTGAAGTCTGCAGGGACTGCCATATCAATAAGGAGGTACTTTTTTTGTTTGTGGTCTTTAATAACAATATCTGGGCGGTTGGCTATGATTGTTCTGTCAGTGTGTATTGTGTAGTCCCATAGAATTGTAACAGGTCCTATCTCCGTAACCGCGTCTAGTTGGTGTTCATATTGTTGTTGCTATTATTATTATTATTATTTTCTTTGATTTCTGGCGTTTACACATTTCTTTCCGGGTCCCGCCCAGGGACCTAAGGTTAGAAATGGCGTCATGACACTTTCCACTGACAAAAAAAAAAAAAAAAAAAAAAAAAAAAAAAAAAAAAAAAGGAAAAGATTACATGGATAAAGCCCTTCGTAAGGTGTGGGCTGTACTTGTCAGAAAAATTTTTTGTATCTCCTTGAGGCATGGGCTTCCAGGAATCCCTTCAATTAGTCTACTGGAATCTTTTCCAACCAGTCCTAGGGCTCCAACTACAACAGGGATTGTTGATGTTCCCATATGCCACATTTTCGAGATTTCTATTTCAAGGTCCTTGTACTTTGACAACTTTTTGAATATCTTCAAAGATACATTGCAGTCGGCAGGGGCTGCCATATCAATAAGGAGGCACCGTTTTTGTTTGTGGTCTTTTATTATTATTATTATTATTATTATTATTATTATTATTATTATTATGTTTTTAATTTGTCTTCTTTTGCCTCAGCATTTTATATGAAGTAAGAATCTTAATCGCCCTGGTAATCAATGAAATTATTATTATTATTATTATTATTATTATTATTATTTCCTCACACATTCCTTCTTTGTCGTTTGCACATGTTGCCTTTGCGGCCCGTGATCAACGATATCTGGGCAATTGGTTTGAATTGTTCTGTTTAAAGTCCCATTAAAGCAAAATGTGTCTCTTTATTGACATGGAAGTCTCTGCAGATTCTTGTGTATCTTTGAAGAACTTCAAAAACTTATCAAAATACAAGGAACTTGAAATCGAAATCAAAAGATGTGGCGCATGAGAACATTACCAATTCCAGTTGTATTTGGTGCTCTCGGATTGATTGGAAAAGATTCCAATAGACTCACTTAAGGAGCCACAATTTTTGTTTGCGGTCTGTATTAACAATGTCTGGGTGGTTATCTTTGATAGTTCTGTCTGTGTGCATCGTATAGCCCCATAAAAATTGTAACAGGTCTTATCTCCATAACCGGGCCTGGGTAGTGTTTATACCAATTTCTTTCCGTAGATGTTGCAGATTTCCCAGTGCAGATATTGGCAAACTCTGTCATGTTGGGTTTTATATTCAGGTTGCACGGTGCCAATACCATGC